TGTACTGTAGCTAAAAAAACCTCAAGTTCATCTGAATAGCTGACATCATACACATTTGAGGTCGGTGTTTTCTTCGTTTTATTTTGTTCTAGCATTGCTGTACCAAAAAATGGATTGGATAGTGAGGTAAATTGGGACCCATAAAAATAACTGAAGCTGGTATAGCACTTACCACCATTCCATTTCCTTAGTTCTGTATGATGGCTTGTGTACACAGAAGGGAAATAAATGAAGAAGAGATATGCAGTACCAACAAATGGTTCCTTTTGCATTAGTGCAGCTGTGCTCAATGCTGGTTTTTCTGTACCCGGTATTGGAAGTCAGTAGGGGGGAATCATTATAAGCATTTGTAAAGCTAGCTGTTAATTGAAATCTAAGTTTAATTTAAGAAGAAAAAGAAAAATTCTAAATAGACATAGGAAAGAGATAAAATTTCATGAGTTACCTAAGTAATGTGCAATTCCAGTTGAATATATGATACATGCAATACAACCTGAAGTATAGTTAAAAATTTGCATGAATGGCAACCACTGGGTGCAGGCTTGTGTCTTCTGAGTCATGTTTTTTGCGAAGTAGACTGTGATGCAGATGTGATTGAGGACAGTCTGTGCCTTGTTTTCCTCAGATTTGCTTATACTAAAGTGTTGCTGTCAGATGAGTTGTGTGAACTTAATTATAAAGTGAGACAAATACAAATTTTCTAGAGCACTGGGATTCTAAAGTAATTTAAATCCTATTTTTAAATCTCAGTTAAAATCAATAATACTTAAGGATCCAGGACATTTAAAAATATTACTTATGATTATCAGTGTGGTAGCAAATAATGTCATGAGAAGTTTAACTGCTGAGCCATTCATTATCTAGGTCTGAACCTGTGTTTTCAGCTCCAAATTCATGAACCTGTAGTGCTCGAGTTAGGTGTGTGGGAATGGTGATATTCCAGACATTTTACCCAATACCCAGTCTCTGATGCTATCATCTATATATGCATAATTTTAGTTTTAATCCTTCAAAAGAACATTTAAAAGTTTTTAAATATTGGGCTTGACGCTGTGTGATTGAGTTCCAAAGAATATTTATTTTAATGGTGCATTTTAATATCTTAATCCCCAGTTGCTCTATGACTTCTAGAGCTCCTAACAAAATGTACTTAGTTCACCCAAGTATGAAGAAAGACCAAGAATCTTGACACATACTCAGAGTAGAAACTGACTAAAAGTACTAGGATTTTCTATTCCTTACTAGCCAAAAAGACACTGTCTACCAAACATCAGATGCCACAACTAGTACCAAATTAAATTAAATAGATAAGATCATGAGAGTTGTTTCAAAGGATTCTGAAATTACTTGTATTTGAACTTGATCTGAGGATCGTGGGAACTCCTAGTCTGTGGTGGCAATCCAGGACAGACAGATCTCTCCACCAAGAGGAGAGTTAAATAGTGGCTACAGACTAGTACAGGGTAACTACTAATTTTATTCCCAGACCTTTGATCTTACAATGGATGACTCATAAATGTCTTTGATATAGACATGGGTGTTTATTTGAAATAATATCTATTCTAGTCTACTTCAGAATTTATCTACTGACACAGTGCATAGAGCAACATGAGTGTTGTTCCACAAAATGAAAATCAGACATTTCAGGGCAGCACAAGCCACATTTTTTTCCAGTTATAGGTCATAGGTGTCAGAAAATGCTTGCATAAAGAGTGGAGTGGTAGAGAGCCTTTTCCCAATCCTAAAAGCATCCCTTGCCACTTCAAACTGAGTAGTCAGTATACAGGTGACAGAGCTCTGGTAACTTCAGTACATCTGCCCTTTGGACAGTCTGCTGTGCTGAGCAAAAAGGTTCCCCTCATTGGCTGTCCAAGTATTTCTTTTTGCATTAATGTATCCTGCTTATTCATTGCATGGTCAAATCATTGAGTTTGATTATAGGCGTTTTTCCAAGCTGTTTTTCAATATAACTTCAGTGCGTGGTGTTCAGAAAGAAAAGAAAAAGGACAGAGCATAAGTCTCAAACCATTGCCATTTTGTTAAGCACTGATGTTTTTCTCTGCTCTTCAGAAAAGTAGGGTAGTGTAACCATCATATGGAGTTTTGCAAGTATTTTGAGCGATGTTTCTTTTAAAGTATTTAAGTCATGGTAAATAGTCCTGTCTGTCTGTATTCTTGTTTATAATTTGAGCTCGCCTAAACCTTTGAGTGTCTATCCAATTTCTCTTCAAAAAGTAATAATAGAATACTCAAGTTCATACTCCCATCTTGCAAAAATTACTTTTTCTCTATTCACCCACACAAGTAATCTCTGTGAAGAAGGAAGAATTAGTCCCTTTTATGAGCTGCCCACTGTGTTTTTTGATCCAATTCATCTTCATTACCTCCCTCAACATAGACCTTAAACGTTGTAGCACTGGATGTGGGGGAACTATATTTCCTTTTCAAACAAAAGAGTGAGATCTCTTTCACCTATGGATATGATGAACAGCGATCAGACTCTGAATTCAGAAAGTAATGCCAGCCACAGAAGCTGTGCTTAAAACAGATTTCAGATATGACAAAAACTGTAAAATATAACAGAGAACACTTGCCACTTTGACAGATGAATGAAAAGAATTACACTTCATTTGTTCAAGTTTTGTTTATATTTTCTGAAATAAGAAAGTGAGTTTGTTAACATCCTCTGTGGAACAAAGTCTGCGCTCTCTGTTGTGAAGTAAGGGGTTGGGCTAAGGATATTTCAAATATTTGTATTTATCCTATATGTGGACTGAATGAGCTAAATCATTTTGAAATCCTGAGAAATCTGAAATCCTGACAAGCGTGAAATTTGCCCACAGTGCGTGTTCACATGCTTATCAATCTGTTAATTCTCAGAACAGAATCCCAGCAAAATGACTGAACATGTGAATTGACCAACCTACACAAAAGTCAATATTTTATTAACAATACAACAGAAAATTCAAAGCTATTCTAAAACTGCATCCTTTGATCTAGAGTCTGCAATGCATGCAAAATAAAAAATTAAAAAGAACCCACCCTGAAGCGTGTGATTACGTCCATCTTTACTCTAGAAAGATCTGAAGTACCTATTTCAATTTAGACACAGCATTAACCCAAAGGAAGTCAATAAAACTGTTCATGTAAGCCACTGAAAAATGTGAACAAGAAGCTCCAGTCTGTCTTATAACTATAAGCAATGTATTTGTCATCTACACAGCAATCATTATTTTCGTATGTATCATTTAAAAATATATCATGCTTGCCTTCTGGTGCTGGAACAGCTGTACCATAAATCTAGCAGTTCTCAAACAAATTTGTACTCTTGGGGTAGCTGGAGGTTTGCAGATAACATATTGAAGCTGGGATATTAAAAATAAGCTTTTTAGTAGTAGTCAAAGAAAGTCCTTTAAGCAGGCGTGAGAATGGCTGCCTTACAGAAGTGACTTCCTTACATTCTCCTTTCAAGCTCGTATTTAAAAATCCTGAGTTATTCTTAATATGCAATTTTCTTTGGCCTTTTTGGGGGGCATTTTTAAAATCTTAGAACAGGAATTAGGAATTTAGAACACAACTAACATCTCAACAACTAAACTTTAGTGGTATTAGGATAATTATATAACTGTGAAGAAAGGAAAAATTGATGGAACCTCTCTTCCTTAGATTACATTTCTCAAGTGGTGTAGCATATGAACTGTATAGCAACATCATATTGCACGAATTCAAGGCACATATTGTCTCAAAGTAGAAACTATGTCTCTGTGAGGTTTATTAAGATTGACCTTATCCATCTTTCAGAGTATATTATCCTCCAAAAAGTTGCCCTTGAGCCAGGAAGGTTGTAGGTGCTACTCTTTTACTTTGCTTTTCTCTAAAACAGAACACCACCTCAAAGAAAGGAAGAGCAATAAAGCTAGCAACTTTTGCAAGCACATTAGACGACTTTTCAAACCACTTAGACGGAAAAACTTTTCATACACATATATGTGTGCAGAAATAAATCTCCTACGTAAATTCCAGTGGTTAAAAGGCATGATCTAAATGTTCCATCATATTTCTTTTTATTGGGGAGGTTGACTTCTGAGTCTTTTCAACATCAGAACTTGACATTCTGCATTCAGCACCTTTTCATTTGTGTGAATTCAACACATACATATCGGGAATCCTGAAAGTCTTGGCTCTGCTTTTGTTTTAATTTCTCAGTTTAGTAATTCTAGGTCCTGTCACTAAAATATTATCCTGTTGGTACTCTTTCCGTATTTTATAGAAATAATTTCTGAAAATTGTTTGCAACTTCTTCAAAAGCATCTGAGGCTGCAAAAGAAGTCTCTCTAAAAAAAAAAACAAACCCTAAAAAAATAAATGTTTGCATGATCTGAACTGAATTGTTGGCAATATGGTCAGATTTCTAATCATTGCTTTTCTTTTTCAGGAAAGCATAGATTTGGGTGAGATCATGTTTTCCCTCTGTTATTTGCCTACTGCTGGGAGAATGACATTAACAGTCATCAAATGTAGGAATCTCAAAGCAATGGATATAACTGGTGCATCAGGTGAATCTACTTCTTTTTTAAATAATAAGGCAGAGTCTATTCAGGAAGGGGACAAATAGGAACTCCTTGGGTTTTGTGTGTTTAGCATGGCTCTGAAATGGAAGTATCAGGATAATGGGTATAAGCTCTGCTCAGATCTACTGGCTATCTTTGGTCTGGCAGTCAGTATGTCTGTTCAGAATGCCTATACCTTTCCTTTGCATTGACAGCATATTGAAAGCAGTGTTTGCCAGTGTCGCTTAAATCTTTGTAATTTTTTGTCTTATCAATATGACATTCCTACAAAAAAATGTTGCCCTTATGCTACACATTTGAATGATGTTCAGTCCAAATGCCCACAACTGATTATCTGTTACTCAGATCCATATGTCAAAGTGTCACTGATGTGTGAGGGTCGAAGACTGAAAAAGCGGAAAACGACCACAAAGAAGAACACGCTCAATCCCGTTTATAACGAGGCCATCATCTTTGATATCCCTCCAGAGAATGTAGACCAGGTCAGCCTCTCCATTGCAGTGATGGATTACGATCGGTAAGCCCAGTTTTCTTCCTGAACATTAATCTTCAGTGAGAGGTTACCTGATCGTTGCAAGCAACTGCTTTCTACCTCCCTGAACTTTCAAGTGGGTTCAGTGTCACAAAAGATATAGCCTTTGGGTCTTTTCCTGAAGAGGTTTAAAGCTTCCATGCCTTTTAGAGCTCAGGCCATTTTATCTGCATCATAAATAACTGCGATGAGGAAGAAACATGGTACAATCTTCTTATGGGCCGCTAGCATTGGCATACATTTCTGTCTGCATCTGGCGGCTGGACCATGTATGAGTTTTATAAATCAGGTATGTCTCAGTTTTAAAAAGACGGTCACACCTTTAATGTCTATTTAAATGCCAGGTATTTGAAATCAAAGAAAATTTGGATGACTAAAAAAGAATTAGATGCTAATTACCTCATTAAATTAAGTCATAATTAATCTTTTGGTTGACTCAATAAAGAAGCTTTGTAACCTTTGGGTTCAGTGCTCCCTGATAACACATCTGAGCCTCAATTATCTACATCCTCACTGAGAACTGACAGGAAGAGACTCCTATTTAAGGTAGCTCAAGGACTGCAGGTTAAACTAGACAGTGACTGACAGAATCACGTCTGAGCCAAGTCTGCTTCGTTCAAGTGCTATTAGTAATGAGCTCTTGAGACTGCAGGGCAAATAAACGGTCAAAGTCCAGTTTAGTAACAGGAAACTTCAGATTATTTTTCCTCAACATCACATTTCTGATCGTCCTCCAACTTCTGTCAGGAAGACTTTCCCAGTGGGATGTGAAAGGGGCACTGCGGTGCGGTTAGGGGAAGAAGAGCACAGCAACTTGCACGCTTTCAGTCCTCGTCAGCTGCTCCTTTCAAAGCTTTTGCTAAGAGGAAGTTAGGAAATATTACTCTAAGGTACATATAGGCAAGGTACAGAAAATTACTTTCTGGAGTCCCTCAACAACTCTGTGGCACTGCTAGGAGCATGAAGTGTTAAGGTATAGCCTGTTACAGCTATACCCCTTGCTTTCACATTTTTTGACTGAAGATCCAATGACCACAAGAGTCAGAGGTGGGAAATATAGTGTGAAATAACAGTAGTATTTGCAACTGGAAACCTTCTCCCCACCATCTTCCTTCACCTTCCTCTCCCACAAAATTTAAGCATGTTTTCCTTCTAGATCACTTGGTGTATTATGGTCCTTTTCTGTCCTTGTGCTGTTTGGGTTGTAACCTTTTAATGGCAAGGGTTATGTCTTCATTGTTATTTTTACAGCTGCTAGAAGCACTCTGGTAGTGGCTGGAGGGTTTTGGTGCTACCATTACAGAACTTAGTATTACTATACTACCACTAAAACTAATATCTGTAATAAATAATGTGAAATGTTTGGGCATGTATTCTGTGCTGCACTAAAGCAGTAAACTGAATTATACATCAGATGATATTAAAACTATTTTTATTAAAAAAATTCTGTCTCTGCAATTCTCAGAGTAGGGCACAATGAGGTCATTGGGGTATGTCGGACGGGAATTGATGCTGAAGGGCTTGGAAGAGATCATTGGAATGAAATGTTGGCTTACCCACGTAAACCAATAACTCACTGGCATCCACTAGTAGAGGTAAGAAGTAGCAAAAATCTCTCCTACGTATATTGAATGTTTTTGTCTCTCTCACATTTATGTGCTTCTGGGAATCATAAAAATCAGTGCAGCATCTATGGAGCAGCTATAAGATCCTTCGAACAACCTAAATCTAATTGCATGCATTTATTGATTACTTAAATGCACCACTTCAAAAGTTTCCATGATATGCTGACTGCATTGTATCATTAAACAATTAAGACATTTGAAATTTCCAGAGATTATGATAAGGAGCTTACATCCACTTAGAAAAGCTCATTTGCAAGTATTTCAACAGCAATCATTTCCTATTCAGAAATCTTTAGCATGAACAGTTATGTTGCTAAAACATTAATCTGAAACAGGCCTGCTAATTAGGCTAAGTTGAGGCAACATACCAGCAGCTACCTCCAGAGTTACTCAGCGGCTTATTGGAAGCTTATTGAAATGCATGAATGATTATATCTACAAGTCCCTGGGCTTGGACTCCCTCTTCACCCTGCTGTGGCCACATCTTACTGGTTTTCTGTACACAAAATGCTCACAGCTTTGAGTTTGGAAAGACTTATATTGAAGCATCAAGAAGCAGCAGGCCCTGCTTTGGCACACAGAGGACACACTCTTTAGCCCTCCCCAAACCCAATCTCTGTAGAAAAATGAGTTGCTGCCTGAGGCATCACGGGCCATTTGTTTTCCCCACTGTGTGGCACATGGCTGCACAGCATCTCCAGTGACAGGTGGTAAAAGCCCAGCAGCAAGGCTTCAGTGAAACACCTGAAGTGTGAGGGCAGGGAAACCGAGTCAGTGCAGCAGAGAAGCCTCTTTTCAGAGGTTCATGGCTTTCTCTGGATTATGTACCAACCCTGATTGGTGAAATAAACCCACTCCCGTGGAATGAGCCAGAGGCATTTTTAGGAGCTCACTTTAGGAATTTAGGGACCAGATGTGATTTGGGTTCTTTATTGAGGGAGTCTCTCATCCCCTGAAATGCATGCGATGCATGGCTAGATATGATGGCATTTGTAAAACTAACATTTTTCTTGCAGTTACCTGGCCGAGCAACCAGTTTTGATAGCCAGGGATCTTGTTCATCACCAAAACCACCGCTTACGCCCTAGGGAACAAGAGTGGATTCATCATGTTCAGTGTCCAAAGCTCCCTTGTAGCTCACATCTACATAAATAGAAGGTTTGGCTTCTGCAGATGAACTGTATCCATATTTTTTTATTAAAATACATTTTTCCTATTCTAAGTCTTATATTACAGTTTATAATAATTTCTTAAATGTATGAATGAAGTTGAATTGAGCCAAATGTAACCCTTCCTCATGTAAATTCATTCACCTGTTTTCTCGCTCGCATATATCCAGTGTCATATCCAAGCAGTGTTTTGATATGACCTATAACTTTGCATAGACAAAGAAATCAGAAAAAAACCAAACCCAAATCCCTTAAGCAATTCAAAACCACTGCAGCTTGTAATGCCTAATTCTCTTGAGGGAGAGCAAATAGTCATATATAGCTCTTGTAGTAAATTTCTTCGAAATTGCACTAAATCCTGTATGACTTCTCAAGATAACACTTTGAACTGAATGTTGCATGAAACAAACAACTGTTGTCGTGTTTTGAGTGTTTGGAAAGTCAGTTAATTCCTTGCGCAGGGAGGAACGGCTGATCAAAAGCCCACTGAAGCTGATGAGAAGGACCCTACTGGCTTCACTGGGTTTTAGTTCAGCCTTTATGGAACAGGATTCACAACTGGATCTATGCAGTTATAACCTTCCAGCGATCAAGATGCCTGCTGGACCTACAGGAACTCGTTAGCCTGTCCAGCAAAACAACCAGGCACGTGTGTCCAGGCAGGTGGCTGTACTCAGCGGCTGTTTTGCTTCAGCTACCCACCGGCTGATGAAGAGCTAGCTGGGATATCTCTGCATGGCACTGAGCAGCACACGTATGGGTATCGTTGTGGAAAGCAAATACGTCTGCAATGAATTGTGTGGAAATTTACGTAGCTCCACAGAGATATAGGCATCTCCTGATGAGGTGCATCCAGGCCCTTGGAAATAGCCCATTTGCTGCTGTCATTGTGCAGTCCGTATTCGGTCTTCATGCGGGTCAAACTGTAGGTGAGAGAATGCTCTGAAGTAAAGGAATTTATTTAATGTATTTTAGCTGTTCAAAAAATTGACCAAAAACTGCAATTACAAAGAACATTTTTCTGATTCTTGATTTAGTGTGCCAGTATTAGATTTCTTTGAAGTTATTTTGACTGAAAGCTCACGTGGAGTAGTTTCTGGTCCCTGGCTGGATGCTCTAGAATTATATGTCAAATATGAATTTGAGATACATTTTATGTCAATATATGAAGAGAGAAATTGAAATGTAACAATTTTATAAACTAGTAAAATCATTTATTAGAATACACAGTGACAGCAAATTCAAAAAAGTGTTGGCTAAAGTGAGCTGGTTTAAAAACTGGAAGAGAACTACATATTGTTTTGTGGATTTAGCTCTTTTTAGCACTGCAGTTTACCTCAATCACAGTTATTTTCCTTTTTTCTTTTTCTTTTTTTTTTTTCTTTCTGCAAAGTGCATGGCAAAGACTGCATGATTGGGCCTGAGATTTTGAAAGCTGAACTGCAACTAGAAAAAAGTTGGGGTGGTAGCTCTTTTTATATCTTTGTAAAGTATAAAGAAAACTGAGAAGACAGTATTTTCCAAAGCATTGTTTTTATGGAAGAAAAGTGTCATACACGAGAAAAATGCCAATGGAAGATTCTTTTATGATAGTGAAAGAATTTGTGAGAATTCATCTAGTTATGAAGGGAAAAGGCAGTTTGGACAGACTTCTTGAAGAGCTATTTTGGCTTGGTTAGTTTGGCCTGGTTGACAGAATATGTTTATGAAGATCCAGTCCCTCTATCCCGCTATCTAATCTCTAAGACAGTCAAATATGCCTTGAAGTGTCTTAACTCCAAGAAAGTTAGGAAGGTTGGTCTTAACATTACAGGTGTTTCTAAGGCAAAAAAGGAGGCAGGTTTTATACCTTGCCTTCTGTGCCTACAAACACAGCAAACAAACAAACAAACAAATCTTTCAGACATTCTTGAGAAATTAAAGAAAAAAAAAAAAAGGAAAGAAAAGGCTCCAGCCCAAGTTTTTGAATGTCTGTTCTGGGTCTCTAGAAAGAAATAGTTTTTCCCAGAGAGGGTTGGTAATGCTGAACACCAATCCTCCCTGCTCAAGATTGTATTTTCATCACCATAAATACAGAGCAACCTTGCAGAATTTCATTCCTCTGTTTGCTCTGGCTGAGTAGTCTCTTTAATAGGAGAAAAAGCTCTCCTCTGTGTTTTTTTTTTCCTCACACCATTATTATCATCATGAGATTTTGTGGCCTAGATCATTTTCATCATGATTTTGCAAGGTTGATATAGAAACAGATATATATATATATATGTGGAGATTGAAAAACTATTTTGTGTATATGTTTATCTTAATATAAATTATATCAGCAGTGGCCTTTGTGGCCTAGAAAATACTTTTTGTAATGTGGTACTGTAACAGTTAACTAAATATTCTTTGCACTTTTTTGCACCTAATATCCAAAAAGCTAACAAATTCATGATCAAATGTAGCATAAGTGTTCAGCAATGAGCAACATCTTTTTAACTATTTCATTGTTCTCTATGAGCATCCTGTGTGTTTCATCATAAGTAGTAAGGTATTTCAATACTCATTTTCTTAAATTTAAATTGTTGTCAAACACCAAAGGAATAATAGGTCAGCTTGTGCCCTCTTGTTGTGTTATTTTTGATATTGCTATTAACAACAGTGAATGAGTTCTGCGTCTAAACTTGATTTATGGGTGCTCTGCATCTAGGAAAAATCAGGCTGCAAAATTATCAGGACATTTAACTTCAAAAATGATCCCCTAATTAATTATTTTTAGTCCTTTATCAGTGATTAATAGAATTAATGCAAAAGATTTTATTTTTTTTCCCCACTGCTTTCTTAGCTATCTCATGAGACAGGGTATATATTTAGTATAACCGACCCATTGCCTTTAGAGCCTGGTTCACAAGCTACTCTCTGAGTGTACTCACAGAAGCCTCGAGTAAAAACTTAGCACAGTTTTAGTCAATGAATATGTTGCTTTATGGATCTGTTTATTAAGAAATTTGAAATATTTTAATTTGGAGAAGTTGTAAATTCCCTGCTCCCACCCTGAATGTTTTTTTGTTGTTGTTGTTGATTATCCACATTTCTGTCATATCACAAACATTAGCCTAATTTGAGCAAAATCAAATCTGGCAAATGTAGTAATTTTACAACAGTTCGAAAAACTCACATTTCTAAAAGCCTAAGTTATTTTTATTGAAATTATTTACTGGAAACAGTAACAGTACTTAATAAGAATTGTATTTTGCACTGCAGAGCTTTTTTATACTTTCACAACAGTAAACCACAGAACTGTACAGAGAAAGTACATGATGGATTAAGTGGTTCCAGGGGAGCTGTTACACTTTTATATTTATTTTCAATAATGCACTGTAAAGAGAAAAAGCCCACATACAACTGTATCTAATGAGCCATTCTAGTTGTTTGGGTAAATATTGTTTTCAAGCAATTGTTTCCCTTCCCCACATTAAATAAGTTTTCAGGGACCATTAGATTTGCTCTAAGCAACCATAAAAATCTTATTAGGTCTATGCAAAATGTTAAGTAGGACCCTAAACCACAGGTAGATTTAGGGTTCTAGTGGCACTGCAGACGGTAGCATAGGTGAGCAGCTGCCCAGTGAGATGTAAATCTCGTATTTCAGTCCGTGATCTCAACATTAGGTCACTGTGTTGTATACTTCTGCTGATATGGCCCTTCCCCTCACTCTCCCAGCAAGTAACCATCTTTCCCCCCCACCTTTTTTGTCTGCATTGGGCAGACAAAATTCAAGCGGTAGAGACCTGACCCTTGCTTTTGTCTGCAGTGCTGAAAGCT